CCAAGAAATAATCAAATTGAGGGCTGAAATCAACAAAGTAGAAACCAGGAAAACAATACAAAGAATCAATGCAACGAAGAGTTGGTTCTTTGAGAAAATCAACAAGATAGACAAACCTTTGTCCAAACTTACCAAACAGCAGAGAGTGAACACGCAAATTAACAAAATCAGAAATGAAAAGGGGGACATAACAACAGACTCTGAGGAAATCCAGAGAATCATTAGGTCATACTTTGAAAACCTGTACTCCACAAAATTCGAAAATTTAAAGGAAATGGATGACTTCCTGGACAGCTATCATTTGCCAAAACTAAATCAAGAACAGATAAGCAATTTAAATAGACCTATAACCCCTATGGAAATAGAAGCTGTCATCAAAAGTCTCCCAACCAAAAAAAGTCCAGGTCCAGATGGCCTCAGTGCAGAATTCTACCACAAATTCAAAGAACAGCTTATACCAATTCTTCTCAAAGTGTTCCACACAATAGAAGCAGAAGGGTCTTTGCCAAACTCTTTCTATGAGGCTTCAATAACCTTGATCCCCAAGCCACACAAAGATACAACCAAGAAAGAGAACTTCAGACCAATATCCCTCATGAACATTGATGCAAAAATACTCAATAAAATACTGGCAAATCGGATCCAAGAACACATCAAAACAATCATTCACCACGATCAAGTAGGTTTCATCCCAGGGATGCAGGGATGGTTCAACATACGAAAATCCATCAACGTAATCCACCATATAAACAAGCTGAAAAACAAAAATCACATGATCATCTCACTAGATGCTGAAAAAGCCTTTGACAAAATCCAACATCCCTTCATGATAAAGGTCTTGGAGAGATCTGGGATAACAGGGACATACTTAAACATAATAAAAGCCATATACAGTAAACCAACAGCCAACATCAAACTAAATGGACAGAAACTCAACGCAATTCCTCTAAAATCAGGAACAAAACAAGGCTGTCCACTCTCTCCATACCTTTTCAACATGGTACTTGAAGTTCTAGCTATAGCCATACGACAACAAAGGGGGATCAAGGGGATACAAATTGGGAAGGAAGAAGTCAAACTTTCACTGTTTGCAGACGATATGATAGTTTATATCAGTGACCCAAAGAACTCTACCAGGGAACTCTTACAGCTGATTAACACCTTCAGCAAAGTGGCAGGTTACAAGATCAACTCAAGAAAGTCAGTAGCCCTACTATATACAGATGATAAAAGGGCTGAAAGAGAAATCAGAGAAACATCACCCTTTACAATTGCCACAAACAACATAAAATACCTTGGGGTAACGCTAACCAAACAAGTGAAAGACCTGTATCGTAAGAACTTTGAATCTTTAAAGAAAGAAATTAAAGAAGCCCTCAGAAAATGGAAAGATCTCCCATGCTCATGGATAGGTAGGATCAATGTAGTAAAAATGGCAATCCTGCCAAAAGCAATCTACAGATTCAATGCTATCCCCATTAAAATCCCAGCACAGTTCTTCACAGACCTTGAAAGAACAATAATCAATTTTGTATGGAAAAACAAAAGACCCAGGATAGCCAAAACAACCCTGTTCAACAAGGCAACGTCCGGAGGCATCAATATCCCTGACCTCAAGCTCTATTATAGAGCTATAGTCCTGAAAACAGCTTGGTATTGGCACAAAAATAGACAGGCAGACCAATGGAATCGAATTGAAAATCCGGGTATTAACCCACACACGTACGAACATCTGATCTTCGACAAAGAAGCTAAAAATATACAATGGAATAAAGAAAGCATCTTCAACAAATGGTGCTGGCATAATTGGAGACTGGCATGTAGAAAAATGCGGATTGATCCATGTTTATCGCCATGCACAAAACTTAAGTCCAAATGGATCAAAGACCTCAACATAAATCCAGCCACACTGAACCTCTTAGAAGAGAAAGTGGGTGGTACCCTTGAAAGAATTGGTACAGGAGACAGCTTCCTGAACATAACACCAGTAGCACAGACAGTGAGCTCAACAATTAATAAATGGGACCTACTGAAACTGAGAAGCTTCTGTAAGGCAAAGGACACAGTCAGCAAGACAAAAAGGCAGCCCACAGAATGGGAAAAAATATTCACTAATCCCACATCTGACAGAGGGTTGATCTCCAAAATTTACAAAGAACTCAAGAAGCAAGTCTCCAAAACAGCAAAGGACCCAATTAAGAAGTGGGCTGCAGAACTAAATAGAGAGTTTTCAATAGAGGAGTCTAAAATGGCTGAGAGGCACTTGAGAAAGTGCTCAACATCCTTAGCCATCCGGGAAATGCAAATCAAAGCAACTCTGAGATACCATCTCACTCCTGTCAGAATGGCTAAAATCAAAAACACCAATGACAATTTATGCTGGAGAGGATGTGGTGAAAGGGGGACACTCCTCCATTGCTGGTGGGAGTGCCAACTGGTTCAGCCACTTTGGAAAGCAGTATGGAGATTCCTCAGAAAAATGGGAATAAACCTACCACAAGACCCAGCAACTGCACTCTTAGGCATATATCCAAAAGATGCCCATTCATATAACAAAGATGTCTGTTCCACTATGTTCATAGCAGCTTTATTTGTAATAGCCAGAACTTGGAAGCAACCTAGATGTCCCTCACCCGAAGAATGGATAGAGAAAATGTGGTACATCTACACAATGGAGTACTATTCAGCAGAAAAAAATAATGGAATCATGAGATTCGCAGGCAAATGGATGACACTAGAAGAAACCATCCTGAGTGAGGTAACCCAGTCACAAAAAGAGAAACATGGCATGTACTCTCTCATATATGGATTTTAGACATAGATCTGGGGAGTGCCAGCCTACAATCCTATTGCCAGAGAGTCTGGGAAACAGAAACTTCATTTACTGGCTGGTTAAGTACTGAGCTGAACTCAAGAAAGCCAGTATCAGAGAGGGAGGACTGATGATCAAAGGGATTAAGACTGGGCTGGTTGAACCCCCAGAAACAGCTGACCAGACAAAGGTTAACTCTTGAATCCCAGGCATCAGCCTGGGAATCCAGCATGGGACTGATCAAGACCCCCTGAATCTGGGTGTCAGTGAGGAGGCCTAGGTAATCTATTGAGCCTTGGACAGCAGATCAGTACCCATCCCAAGTATACACACGGTCTCTGGACTCCCATAGAACAATGTGAGGTGCACTCTCACCCTGAACTCTTGGGGAAGGGTCTAGGCCCTGCCCTATATGAAATGACAGACTATGGACACCCCCATGGAGGGCCTCACCCTCCCTGGGGGAATGAGGGGATAACGGGGGGGGGATGGGGGGAGGGCACGGGAGGAGGGGAGGGAAAGGGAGAGGGACCTCGTACTGACTTGTGAAGCAACCTTGTTTCTTATCTAAATTTAAAATGGAAAATAAAAAAATATTAATAAAAAAAATAAAAAAAAAAAAAAAAAAAAAAAATATTTGGACATATTTTCCACTGCCCTCATGGGGTTTCCAACAGGAGCATGGTAGCAGGAATGATAGCGTGTATTATTCTCTACAGGATAATGTATAAGAGGCTGCATTAGTTTTCAATGGCATTAAAAACTGATGCATGAACGTTTGCACTTTGTAACCTGCCTAACACAAGTTGTTGAGGAAATAAAAGCAGACCTGAAAAGATGCATACTGAATGTAAATGTGCTAAGATGATATCAGTATCTTATGCAACATCTGCGTTTTTTGCCATCATGTTTCATTTATCTTTGTTCTCCCCATGTTGCCTGTCATGAATAACATGATAAGCAACTCATTAAATCCCCGAGATTCTCCTGTAAAAATCCACATACTATGATATGCAAAGCGAGGACTCAGGGTCAATAACTCATCCTGTGTGCAACTCCCTATGTGATTGTGACTAAACCACTCCTTTTCATGAAGCTAAAAGCCTTTCTCATTTGGCAATTATGTGAAACAGTTCCTCCCTGCCTCTGTGCAAGACTGGGCAGGTGTGAATCTTGTTCAGCATGGAGCATGTGATTAAAAGCTTGGCCTGTGTGATAGGCAATCTTGATTACTGTGGTGTGCTGGATTGAGAACGTCTTTCATAGATTCATATATTTGAATGCTCAATAACCAGGGAGGAAAACTCTTTGGAGAAGAATAGGAGGTGTGACCTTGATGGAGGAGATATGTCACTGGAAGTGGGCCTTGAGATTTCAAAAACCACTCCAGGCCAATCACTCTCTTTCTCTGTCTCTGTGTGTCTCTCTGTTTCTGTGTCTCTCTGTCTGGGGATCAGGATGCAAAGCTCTCAGATACTGCTCCAGTGCCATGCCTGCCTGCTTCTTGCCATGATGATGATGGACTAATCCTCTGAAACTGTAAGCAAGGCCCCAAGTAAGTGCTTTCTTTTATGAGTTGTCTTGCTAATGAGGTATCCTCAAACAACAGAACAGTAACCAAGTCAGTGATCATCTTGATTGAGAGACACCTAGAAAATGGGCATCTGTCTGTTACCTCATTTCAGAGATGACTGGCATGTGGGTCACTGAAGTGAGAAGAAAGACCTTTCCTGAGCAGGGCTGATAGCATACATTTGTCTGGCCTTTGTCACCTGGTGAGCCTGACTTTTTCTGAGCCCCTGTGACAGTGTTACTGTCTGCTCGTGACATCACATTCCACCTCCCTAAGTCTGCAAGAGACTTTGGGTATTCAAGCACAGACTGCATCATAGGTTAGTTCTTCTTTTCTTGAGGGTTTCAGGTGTTTTGGACTTGGAAGCCACGGGTTACCCACTGGTTAATCACTTCTCTTCCTCACCAACTTGCCAAAGGCCATTTTTTCATCATGCACCTTGACTATGTAAATAAAACTGGTAATATTAATACACACTGTTGGCAGAGTCTTTCTATGTTGATGTCAGAGTTCCTGATACAGAAGAATTTCTTTTTCTGTTTTTCCTTTTTCCATTATCTGGTAAATTCAAAGCAGGTAGGATTTTGATCTTTTTCTTCCCCAATTAACACTCACCTATTGAGAATGGCAGAAAAGAATCTCTCTTCTTAAACTGTCCATTCTCCAAAAAGTGCTCTGGATTGAAGGTTTCTGGGGTGGCCCACTCTTTGGGGTCCCTGTGCAGAGCAGTCAAATTGGTCAGGACCATGGTTCCCTAAAGAACAGAGCAAAGAGTCAAGGCTTGATGTGTCAAACAGCCCCAGACAAGGAGTGAGGGTTCCCAAGATCCCATCATTCTTTACACCCTGAGATCCTTGAAAACTCCTGTTCTTAGTCCAGATAAATTATGGATTATGTGTCCAGAGGCTATTCCAGGCCTATCAATCAACTCTTTATCAGGAAGCACAGTTCTATGGGAAGTGGTCATCATGTTCCTAGGGAAACAAAATGTACCATCCAAGGGACGATAATTGGACATGGGAAGAAAACCATCAACCCAGTTCCTTCCTACACAGACATGTGATGAAGAAGCCTGTTTCTGGGGTTAAACAAATGAATTGTATCTGCGTTTCCAGAGTCGACTCTTCTTATTCCAGTTCCAAAGACTTTCCAGGAGAACAACACATTCTGAGGATCTAAGACTTAAAATTGTAGGTCCACAGAGACTACCTCTGGCAGGTAAATTGATTCTTGATTCTGGTAATTGATGATTGTTTAGGAGATTACAAAAGAACACCACTGACAGTAGCTGTAAGGGCATTTCTAGAGATCATTAACTAATTAATGGCAGTAGACTTTCCCTGATTGTATGTTACCATTCCCCATACTCAAGAACTGGGTAGCATAAATGGGGTGGGGAATTAGCTTCATGCAGACTCTCTTTCTTTTCCTAGTCACCATCATAAGGACTCATCTTCTGAGCCATCCCCTTGCCACCATGATGAACCATGAATAAATACCTTGGGCATTTATTTTGTCACTGCCAAGAAATGTCTGACTTTGGTTTGGTATATGGTGAACAGAAAGAAAGGGAAAGGATTGTGACTTGAACAGAAGGAGTGTGATATGGTCAGGAGATCTCTCTCAGCAAAAACTTTAAGTGGATCCTAAGCTGGGTTGTGCATTTGCTCTGTGAACAGAGAGAATGTAAGAGGGATCCATGAAGAAAAGTGTAAGGGAGATTGTTCAATGTCTACTATAGCAAGTCCTGGGCAGTAAAAATAATCAAAATAGTTCTGGATCCAAGCTCTTCTAAGGCTGCATATTGTATTGGAGAGATCTCAGGTAAACTTCATTCCCAAGCAGGGACCAATGGTTATGAAAAGGGGATTAAGACATTTTGACATGAGCATCCTCAGCACATAACTGCTTGGCAACAATCTGATTTTATCTCTCCATTTCTAATAATTAATGTTTCATTTTGTACTGTTTTTATGTGAAACAGAAAGATCTCAAGTAAGCAAAAGCTGGGAAATATCTATGAACACGGATATAGCAAAGAACTACTGACTCCTAGGAGGCCAAATTAACACAGGAATATACTGAAATGTCTTTTAGCTGATAAGGTCAAATTTTACTTTATTGGCTAAATTCAAAGCAGATTCCACCAAGAAATCGTCCTTTCTCTACTCCCCAATATACACACAAACATTACAGACCTGTCGGTGGAAAGTTCTTTCTTTGCCCCCTTTGGTACAATATCTCTGGGTTTAAATGTTTTCTTCGGGCAGAAACACTTACTACTTTTTACATTTAGATTCCTCAGATAATGCCAAGGATGGGCTGGAGCACTATAAACTGATAGTGCAAAGTTACCTTAGGCAGGTGGAATCCAGCAAGTGTGCTATCAGTTGTTACTTCCCTGGGAACATTCAAGGGGATGATGTTGCCCATCCTCTGCACCTCATGGATGACAGCATTAGTGTAGGACATGGACTCTCTGTCAGCTGTGCTTGGCTGCCTCCCAAGACCAATCACTCTGTCAATCTCAGAGTGGACTTGTTCTACAAGAAAACCAGGGGGTGGGGTGGGGTGGGGGAATCTGTAAGTTTCAAAGTTAGTGCTTTCTTCTGAAGACAGACAAATTGTCTCCATGATGTTATCTCCTTACATTTAACCCAGTGTTTTGTTTACAAAGAAACACTATGTTTCTTCAGCTCCTCAAAGGACTGCTTTGGAAAAGTGTTAACTCTGTAACTTCCCTTCTTCCTGCAACATAGCCATAGTTTTTCACTTACCCTGAATGGAATATCTGTTATCTGCATGACTAATCACATAGCAATACCCATTCATGCTTCTGCAAATTAGTTCCTTTCACCTAATGGCCTATGAAAAATAAAAGCTTAGTTTTTAGAGTTTGATATTCTGGGATATTTACAATCAAGACATCAAGAGTTTTGTCTGATATGGATGAACTTTCTGTCTCAGATGGCAAAGCTTTGCTGATCCTCAGAATTCATGTAAAAATCGTGGTATAGTGGCATGCACTTCTAATTTCAGCATATTGGGAGACAGATTCCTGTGGCTCACTAGCCAGTTAGCCTTGTCTACTTGATGAGTTCCAGGCCAGAGAAAGTTCCCCTTTCAAAAAGTGTATGGAGCCCAAGAAATGACTAATTCTTCTTTACTACATGGGAAATGATGTGGTTACTACTCTTCATCTTTGGCCAAAAATAGTTGTCTTGAATGTGCTTCAGTGACTTTTTCCTTCACTAATAAATTTACCACAGTTTGGAAAAAATGTTTCATGACATGAAACTTGATGAATTAATTCTTCTATAAACTAGAGGAATAAAAATGATGGAATTGGCCATTATTTCTGAAGGGATGAAAGTCCCTGGGGAGGTATAAACGTTGTGCAAAACTCTGCAGTGGGGCACAATGGGTCACATCTCAAGGGAGAGCATGGCAGCCAATTCTTAGTAGTATTTAAACCATTTTTGGAAGGTAGTATCTGAAATCTCAAAAAATGGGATAGTAATTCTTGTTAGGGGGAAAGCCCAATGCCATGCTTATAGGCATGAATAAGGACAACACCAATGGAGAAAATGTAATATAGGGAGGCAACATGCAGAGTGTGTGTGGTTGAGTCTGGAAAGAGAGTGGTAACATCAACAGGAGGCCAAATATCCACCTGAGACATCTGGATGGTATTCAGGTCAAATAGGAAGGAGGGACTGAGTGGATTTCCATCAGACAGTGTCACCTTTTGCTGGAACCTACCTTACTGACAGGTGACTTCTCTATGTTCCCCTAGAGTTGAAGATTCTTCTAGGCACAGACTATAAAATCTGCATTTGTGAATTATCACACTCCTGAAAAGACACTTTCCCAAGAACACCTCTCCTCACAGCTGATTCATGTAGTTCCATTCCACTATTCTAGTTTCTGGGCCCATCTAAGCAACAACTTTCAGAGGAACCATTGTGCCCTGTCCGGATGCAGTCAGCACATGCTCACCTTGGACTTCCGGGTAGAGGGCCATGTAGAGCAGAGCCCAGCGCAGTGTTGTGGATGTTGTCTCTGTTCCAGCAAAGAAGAGGTCCAGAGTGCTGCAGATGAGGTTTTCTTCATTGAAACTTGTAGCAGCCTTGTCTGAGTACTAGAAAAATTAGTGTGTATTTTTAAGAGGATTTGGGATTATTCAAGGAACAGAATCTTGAAACTGGGAAACAAATTTTGGAAGGAGTCTTTCAGAATGAATGATACTCCCTTTGACTTCATTGGGTGGTATTGTTTACCTTCAAATGAGATGTTGAACAAAAGCACTTGAGTGGCTAAAATCAAGACAATTGTTTTCATGTGATTATACTTTTGAAAAAGCTTTTAGTAAAATGATAAATAGTTGGATATGAAGGAGCACTTTGTTGCATGGATCAGTTACATGCCATGGCCTAAAGTGCTCGCTTTACATTTCTCTTCTTCAGTTTCATAACAAGATAATAACACTTGTGATGGTTATTATTGGTGTCAACTTGATTATACCTGAAATGAACTAAAATTCAACTGGCTGAATACAACTGTGAGGGATATTTCTTAATTAAATCATTTAAAGTGGGAAAACCCTCCTCCTCTTTGACCAGACTTCTAAGGTGGGAAGGTCCACCTTAAATCAGCCACACCTTCTGGTGGCAGCCTATATAGAGGGCATGGAAGAAGGAAGTGTTTGCTCTTCACCTGCATGTCTTTACACTCACTGTCAAATCAATGCTTTCACTGGCCTTACAGCTTACTTCTTTGGGATTCTTGCATATACTGAAGATCAGCTGAAACATCCATCCCTGTGGACTGAACAACTACTAGATTCTTCTATTTTTTCTGTTGGCAGAAAGTCATTGAAGGACTAGTTGGACCACAAGCTTTAAGAAACTCCAATAAATCCCATAAACTTGTGTGTGTTCGTGTACACACACACACACACACACACACACACACGAATATCTTACAGGCTGTGGTACATTAGTTCAACAATACCTGTCTATCTAGAGAAAGAATACACACACACACACACACACACACACACAGTTTTGTTCCTCTAGAAAATCCTGAATATTTCAACACACATCTTAATCACAACAAATTAGTGAAACAAAATAGGAATGTAGAAAATACTCAAGAAATATTTTTGTTCATTAAAAAAGAATAAAGTGCAATCTCTATGATGACTAGTTGTTTTTTCCTGCATTAATCTTGCATTGTGAACACCTCTCATATTCTATCAATTGTCTTTTAAAATGTAGTATTTTCCTTACCAACCTTCTCTGGAAGCTTCAGTTTGTTAATATTGCTCTTAATGTTGATGGTCTCACACTGAACTCCATATGGAAAATAATTTGCCAACTTCTCTAGGGATATATTGTTGTTTCTATTGGTAGTATGACAGGAAGATGAATTCATAGAATGGGTGGAAAGGCATGTACCTTTGTACACTTGGTCAGAGGAGGAACATTGAATCCAGTGGGTCAAAGGCTGTATGACAGATACAGTGATGTGGATTAGCCAGAGGCCTATTGAGATTGTAACAGTATAGTTAGTGTTATGGTCTGAATGTAAAGCATCCCCTACAGGTTCATGTTTTGAATCCTTGGTTCCTAGTTGCTGTGACTAATTTAGAGGTTCAGGAGAATTAGGAGGTAGGGTCCATCACCTGATGACAAACTCAATGTTATAACAAGGCCCTGGGCTCATCCTTTGTTTCCTCTCCCTGGTACATAATGATATGCAGGCTCTGCCACACCAATCTAACACCATGAGCTAAGCTGCTCTGCCATTCCTTCTCTGTCATAATGCATCAAAAACCTCTGAAGTTGTGAAACAAAATAAATCTTCAATCTCTTAAGTTGTTTCTGTGAGTATTGTCACAATGATGTAAAAGCAAGTCACACTTGCAAACAGCTGCTTTCTAGCCTTCCGTGTGATGGAAGAGTCTTGATATGGGGTCAGAAGAAGACAGAGGTCCTACCCATACTTTGAAGTTAAACTCCAGCATTCAGCTAAACTTGGCCTGTGTCTTGCAGTGGAGACTGAGCTGGGATGGATTATTCACTGTAGACCAACTGATAAAAAACTAGAGCTCTGATGTTTAGTTGCTACTTTTACTATGGGTAAAGGGCAAGGAGGTGCATAAATGGCCAATATCTGCCATTTTCAGGACTTCATGCCAAACAGCAGTGGACCCTTTACTTCTTTTTTTAATTACATTTTATTCAATCTTTTTTCATATATTATATTCCAACTGAAGTTTCCCCTCCCATCTTCCCCCCCAACTCCTTCCCCACATGCTAACCTATCCACTCTTCCTCTTTTCCCTTTGGAAAAGGGCAGCCCTCCAAGGGATATTAACCAAACATGGCATATCAAGTTGTAATAAGACTAGGTACCTACACTCATACTAAGGCTGTATAAGGCAACCCAGTAGGAGGAAAAAGGTCCAAAAAGTAGGCAAACAAGTGAGAGAGTGTCCCTGCTCCCACTGTTAGTCTTACACGAAGACCAAGCTATGCAAACTATAACATGTATGTAGATGACCCATGCAGGTTCCCTGGTTTTCAATACCTCTGAGGTCCTATGAGCCTGGGTTAGTTGGTTCTGTGGGTTTTCTTAGTGTCCTTGCGTCCTCTGGAAGCTTCCTCTCCCTTTTCTTCAGAATTCCCCATACTCCACCTAATGTTTGGTTGTGGGTCCTGCATCTGTTTCCATTAATTGCTTAGTGAAGCCTCTCTGATGATGATTTTGCTAGGTTCCTGTCTACAAGTATAGCAGAATGCCATTAGGAAACATTTCATTGATTTTTTTTTCTGGTTCTGTTTGATCCAGAGACCTAGAATAGGTCCCTGGCCCTCCAGGCAGTGTCAGGGGTGGGCTTTCTCTCGTGGCAGGGGTCTCAAGCTCCACCAATCACTGGTTGTCCACACCCACAATTTCTGTACCACCTTTGCCACAGCACATCTTGCAGGCAGGACAAACTGTATTTTGGGGGGTTTTGTGTTGAGGGTTGGTGTCTTGATCCATTCACTGGAAGTCTTGTCTGGTTACAGGAGATGGCCCAGTCAGGCTACTTTTCCCCCATTGCTAGAAATCTTGTCTAGGGTCACCCTTGTAGATTCCTGGAAGTTTCCATTGCACTAGGTTTCTAGCTCATCCCCCAGATGCTTCCCAGTTCCAGGTGTCTCTTCCAGTACTCTCTCCCTCTGTCCTCTCCCCACATGATCCCTCTTGTTCCAAACCCCACCTGCCCCAAGTCTACCCATGATATATATTCTATTTCCCCTACCTAGGGAGGTTCAGCTTCCTCCTGAGCCCTCCTTGTTACATAGCCTTTTTGTATCTGTGTATTGTATTCTTTACTTTACAGTTAACATTCAGTTATGAGTGAGTACATACCGTGTTTGTCTTTTGGGGTCTGCATTATCTCACTTAGGATGATTTTTTCCAGTTACATCCATTTTCCTGCAAATTTCATGATTTTTTAACAGCTGAGAAATACTTCATTGTGTAAATGTACCACACTTTCTTTCTCCATTCTTTGGGTGAGGGACATCTTATTGTTTCAAGTTTCTGGCTATTACAAATAAAGCTGCTATGAGCATAATTGAACAAGTGTCCTTGTGGTAAGATGGAGTATCCTTTGGGTATATACCTGAGAGCTGGGTCTTGAGGTAGGTCAATTCCTAAATTTCTGAGAAACTGCCATATTTATTTCCAAAGTAGCTGTACAAGTTTTCACTCCCACCAGCAGTGAAGGAGTGTTCCCCTTACTCCATATCTTCTCCAGCATGAGATGCCACTTGTAGTTTTGATCTTAGCCATTCTGACAGGTGTAAAGTGGATCTTGGAGTCATTTTGATTAACATTTCCCTGATGGCTAAGGATGTTGACTATTTCTTTAAGTGCTTTCTTGGCCATTTGCAATCCCTCTGTTAGGAACACTCTGTTTAGATTTGTACCCCATTTTAAAAATTGTATTATTTGGTTTGTTGACATCTAGTTTCTTGAGTTTTGTATATATTTTGGAAATTAGCCCTCTGTCAGATGTGGAACTGATGAAAATCTTTTCCCATTCTGTAAGCTGCCATTTAGTCCCATTGACAGTGTCCTTTGCGTTACACAAAATTTTCAGTTTCATGGGATCAATAATTCATTAATTATTGATCTTAGTGTCTGCACTATTGGTGTTCTGTTCAGGAAGTTGTCTCGTGTGCCAATATGTTCAAGGTTAGTCCCTGCTTTTTCTTCTATTAGGTTCAGTGTATCTGATTTTATATTGAAGTCTTTGATCCATTGAGACTTGAGTTTTGTGCACGATGATAGACATGGATCTATTTGTATTCTTCTGTATACTGATATCCAGTTGGCTCAGAACCATTTATGGAAGATGCTTTATCTTTTCTTTGTAAAAAAAATCAGGTGTTCATAGGTGTGTGGATTTCTATATGGGTCTTCAATTTGACTTTGTTGATCAATCTGTATTTTATGTAAATATCATGTGCTTTCAATTATTATAGCTCTACAGCAAGGCTTAAAATAGGAGATGGTGATACCTCCAGAAATTCTTTTATTGTTCAGGGTTATTTTAGTTGCCCATTTTTTGTTTCCATATAAAGTTGAACTTCCATATGAAGTTGAGTATCTTTAAGGTCTGTAAAGAATTGTGTTGGAACTTTTTAGTGGTAATTGCATTGAATATGTAGATTTCTTTTGGTAGGATGGCTATTTTTTCCTATGTTAATCCTACCAATCCATAAATGTGGGAGATATTTACATCTTCAGTTATCTTCTTTGACTTCCTTCTTCAAAGACTTGAAGTGAAGTTCTTGTCATAGGGTTTTTTCAGTTGCTTGGTTATAGCTACCACAAGATAGTTTGTATTATTTGTAGGTATTGCAAAGTATGTTCTTTTCGTGACCATTTGTATACATCAGAGGACTAACTGGCTTTTTTGAGTTAATTTTGTATTCATCCACTTCACTGTAGGTGTTTATCATCTATAGGAGTTCCATAGTGGAATGTTTGAAACTGTGCTGGTTCCATGGTGTAATGGCTAGTACTCTGGACTCTGAATCCTTCCCTTCTAATAATGTTCCTGGTATAATGGTATTATTCATGTCTAAAATACTATTCATAATATATATTCCTGAGTGTATTAATCATTGACCTACATAGATGCCCAGAACTTCATTTTTTAATCTGTTCACGGTACTTGGTAAGCTAAAATAGACTTTGTAGATGTGATTAATTCGACAGAAGAATATTAGCTTGAATTATCCTCATTAAAGGGGTCTTGAGCATGAAAACCAGAGAGGGGAGATGTAAAGATGGAAGCAGATGTTGAGAGAAGAAAGGTTCTACAAACTTGATACTAAAGATGAAGGAAGGAGCCATAGCAATGGATGTCAGTGCCCTCTGAGAGCTTGATGCTGGAGTCTCCATGGTTATGGAGTCTCCATAACCCTCAGAAGAAACTCACCTGACCAGTAGGGATAGGTATTCATTCAGTACTGATTCAGTGCAATGTTATACCCTTAAACACATGGCTGCATGATGCAGGATCAATTGGAAACTACTAAACCATCATATTTTTTTCTAAAAAAAAAACCCAAGGCAGAATCTTCCTCACCTTTGTCATTTCTGTAAGGAAAGCATCAATGAAGTCTCTCGGCTCAACAGGATTCCAATCTTTCCGGTGACTGTCCATCATCCGGGAAACAAACAGTTTCAGTTTTTCCCAGTTCCTGAAAACTGTTTGATGTGATCCAGGAAGATATTTAAATATGGATGGGAAGACATTGTAAAGCTTATAAAGAAAAATAAGAAAATATTGCAGACATGAAAGAGTAATTTTTGTTTCTAAACAATCTTGTCTTTCCCCTCTGTTACGTTTAGTAACAGAGTACTTTGGGGCCATCTTGGTTTCTGGTTTCCCTGTCACCACTGTGTATACAGGTGTTTCAACTGTGCCATGCAAAATATATGACACACCAGGCTACTTTTCACCATCCCGTCTCTTTGCTCCTTGGTCTACATCTTCATCTCTCCTATCTGAATTCTGGTATGCTATTAAATTATTTTTTGATTCCATGCCTTTGAAGGTCATTTTGCAAATAGTTTCCAGACAGAATATATATCAATGTTATCACAGGGCTCCACTCCTTGAATTATAATCCTCAAAAACTATCCACTACACTCAAAATCATACATAGTGTATTGTACCTATAAGCCATACAGAGATGGAACCCTCCAAATCTTCATCATTATCTATGTTTCTCTACACACTCCAACCATGATGGCCTCTATGATCACATTGAGGGCATTTTTTTTCAGATCTAAGCAGTTGGTATTCATTGTGACTAGAAAATCTCTCTGAAACTAGCATGGTCCCTGTCCTTCATTTAATGAAAGTAATGTTTACAAGTTACATGCTTGGAGCTCTGTTACTTGATTACAGAGATAGGTTTCTTTCTAATCCTTGGTCAGGATTTATTGTCCCTCAGGGAAATTAAATGTATTGTGAGGGTAGCTTTATATGCTGGTGCCCCCGACATAATTTAATTTTCATATGGCGAGATGGAAATCTTTATTGAAGTAAAGTGGATGGCAAATAAAGTTTCGATAATATTCAGTGGGAAGCAGATAGTATAGCACAGTGTAGAGTTAACAATATGTAAAATGAGGCAGATATGCGGTTGTTAATTCTGCTACCTTCAGGTTTGGTAACGGTTATAATATTAATAATTTAAATATTAATAATATTGAAGTATGGCAATATTTATTGCTACTAGTAATATTAATAACATTAAAGTATGTAAATATTTAATGTTAGTATCACTAAATTATAACAATATTTCATATTATTAAGTGATATTAACATTATACTCTTTCTTTACCAGTGGAGTTCACTCACTCTGCACATTAAATGGTGTGACACACAATGCATTACACAGAGGTCTGGGGGATTACTGTCTATATTTTGTCTATATTTGCTTGCATAATTTTGTACTAGGTTTCAGACATCATGTTGCATTATTTTACATGTAGAGGGATATTGTGAAATTAATGGACATGTGCTTTTACAGTGTCTATCAAAGTACCTCATACAATTTGTTATGTCAAGGATATGTATTACCACTCTTTGCTGACTCGTTGTTTCTTCTAACACCTTACCTCCAGTCTGCAATCTAGAAGTTGTCTGGGCACTTGTTGAACTTTATTGAATTCCTAGGCTTTGCTTACTGGGAGGAAAGTTAAGGGGCTGCTAGACTTGCAAATACCACGATTAAGAGTTAAAACAAGGAACACAAAATACTGTGGACAACAAGTGCAACAGATCAAACTCTTTAGCTCCTTTTCTTACATATAAGGTATGCTAACCAACTCATCTGTTTTTGATGAGGACATCCCTGAAGGTGAGGAAGTGCTTGTGGGATAGGATAAGTGAGAATAAATCCCCTTTTGGGTGCATTATAGAGAAGCAGATGCATAGAGACAGAAGGTCTTAAAGGGGAAGGGAACATTTGAAGGATCAGTAACTGTATTTCAGATCCATTCCCTCTGGAACCCTTGTGTATACTAAGTCAGCAAGAGGAATGTGATTGAAGCAGCATTATATACAGAAGAGGAATAAAAGCAATGTTAATCATGCAGACACAGGAAAGAATAAATTACATAAGATGGCTGAACTAATGAGAGGTATGAAGAAATTCATGTTAATTAACACAACTAACAAGCCAACCTGTAATAGTAACAGATAGAAAACAAAGAATAAACACTAATTCAACCAAACAGAAAAACTACCATCAAAATTATGGGTGTTAGTTGGGATTTGGGATTGTTCAACAACAATCTTCAATGTCAGCGGCTCCAACACACACACACACACACACACACACACACACACACACACACAAAGAGAGAGGGGGGACATATTAGATGAAGAAACACAGACTAACACATTGTTTCTAAGAATGCATACATTATAGGCAAAGGCATCCACATAAGGAAACATCCAGCAAAAGAAAATTTAAAACATACAGTTCTAACTATCCTGGTATCTGAGAAAGAAGATTTCAAATTCAAACTAGTTGAAAGTGACTTTTTAAAAGGCACTATATATTAATAAAGAGAACAACCAATTGTAACTAAATATGCCTCAAATAAAATTCAAGGCTTTTGATTTTACAGCATTAACTAAAATGCCAGAGGAGTCCTGAGGTAATACAGAGTGATTTCAGTAGGCTGCTCTCATTGCTAGATGAGAAAATCAAAAGTGAAAATCAAAAGAAAAGAAAGACTTAAATTACACTGCATATGAAATTGTCTTAAGAGATAGCTAAAGGTGATTCCTCCAAACAGAAACACACATATATAACCTTATCTAAAATGGAACACATTCTACACCACAAATGAGTTCTTACCAGATACAAAGGAAAAGTTAGCAATAGACATACCTAAGAGACCCCAACACTACATTAAGAATTATAGACAATCAAGGAATGCTGAGAATGAGAGAAATAGTCTTCCCTAGAGAAAAGCACATCAATTGGTTATCTAATATTAAATGATCATCTTTGAAAACATAAATACATAAAAGTAACATTATACAGACTATGCAGATTGTATTAGGTATCTAGGGATATAAATGTTAGAACATATACATAAGAATAAATAATTAATGAAAAACTGAGGCTGTGAATTTGAAAGAGCAAAGAGAAGTAGTTTACAGTGCTTGGAGGGAGGAAATGGAAGGAAGAGATGATACAATTATATCATAATCTTAAAAATAAAACAAATAACTTAAAAACTCACACTAAAGGCCAGGCAGTGGTGGTGCAGGCCTTTAATCCCAGCACTTGGGAGGCAGAGGCAGGCTGATCTCTGTTTGAGGCCAGCCTGGTCTACAAGAGCTAGTTCCAGGACAGCCTCCAAAACAATACAGAGAAACCCTGTTTCGAAAAAACCAAAAAAAAAAAAACCCTCACACTAAAAAATGACCCAAATGAGTAGATGTGTTCAATTGAACCTTGGCACCAGAATATTCATGGATATATTATTCTTAGTTCCCTAAATCTAGGAACAACTCAAATTCCTAAGCTCAGAAAAAAATTACAACATATTCAGATGCTGAGCTGCATACAAAGAGGACTCTTAAAACAAGTTGATGAACTACAAAGTATACACAGAAATTGACTGAGGTAAGAAGAGAGTCAAAGCAGACAATCATAGTCAATAACATTGTTATTTATTTTTTAAAAGGTAAATTTCCATGTACTTGCATATGTATCAGTGTAAATATTAAAATAGCTCATATAAGTGTTAGAAATGTTTTATATATGCTAGGTTCTTACATTACAAATAGGTTTGCATCAAATTTGATTTTTAAGACTTAATATATACCTGTTATATATTAGCTTCAAAAAGTCGCCCAACAAAAAGAAAAACTTATATGTTTTTAAATCAGCCCCAGTCCAATATTCTTTCTAAAATATGCAGATGTGAAGAACTTACCAGACACATCATTGATGTCTCCAAACATGTGGCTTCATCTAATAACCTCAGAAGCTCCTGAAACTGGTCATCTTCATATCCAAAACGTTCCCCGAAGGTGATGGAGCAAATGATGTTGGAAACTGCATTGGTTATCTTGAAGTGTGGATCAAAAGGCTGTCCTGGAGATGGGGAGAGCCCATATGCCTTTTAAAGATATTGGGTTCCTTCCTCCCTCCCTCCCTCTCTCCCTCTCTTCCTCCCTCCCTCCCTTCCTTTTTTTTTTTTTTTTACAAATATTTTATAGTTTATGGCATAAAATATACACAATAGAGCATAATATGAAGAGCTCCAGCTACAGGGTGCATTGCACAATGAAAGAACTGTCAATATCTGGGAAGACATATAGATAACCAGGCTTTAAATTCAACAGTGTGTTTAATGACACATTTGTATACTTAGCTGTAGAACTCCTGGGGAAAGGGCATGGCTACATGTTCACTGTTCAGTCCTCAGTGGCTAGCACAGTGGAGACCAAAGACTAGGATTTACCTAATAAGAATTTGTTCAGTGAATGAAAGGGCTAGAGCCTCATGCACTGTCCTGCAAAGGGCTCACCTTCCTCTTCTCCTATGGCATTTGTTAGGTGGAAGGCCTCTTCCTGTATGCACTCCTCTAAGCTCTTCCTCCCCAGTCCAAAGTTCTTGAGTGTCATCAGTGCGAACCTTCTTTGCTCCTTCCATGTCTGGCCATAGGACATGATCAATCCTGGAAAGTAGAGATTCGGCATTATGGCATTGTGATCATGGCTTAAACGTACCAGAAAAACTCCATTAGACATGGACATAAGAAAAGAATAGCCAAAAAGTGAGCTGATAGCTGTCTAGACACAATCTCAATGCAAGTGACTAACATATTCTGGTGGCATGAATCAGAACATAAATTTAGTAAGTACTTCTTATGTATTATATAATTTTGTACTGAAAAAAACTCTACAGGTTTATGACCAACTAACAAAATGTTCATTTCATCTGGTATAACACTGAGGCATGATAATAAATTGCAAAGTAAACTTAGAAAGACAATAAGTAGATGGGCATCCAGGCGTTCAAATTCAACTTTCCCTGGACCTAAAGCCCCAAGCTGATGAGCAGAAACACATCTATTTATGCCACAATGAGTACCAGGAATGCACTCATGGATAATACAAGGCATGCATTACTTACAAAGCAACAAAGGCATTATAGGGAAATTCTAGCAAAGATCACAAAATGATTCAAGAAGTTGAGAAAGATGAGTATCCCTCACATGCACATACATACACAAACATAGAGGTGCAGGGGAGGAAAAACATGCTGCTGTGATTAGCATCCAGCACACATACATGTGTCTCAGCACACATAAAATGCCACCCTCCTGTCCACATCTTACCTTTCAGAACAATGTTCAACTCTTTGAACACAGATCCTGGTTTCCACCTCATGTGTTCTTTATCAATTCAGTCATTTATTTCCTGGAACTCTCTATTCTGGGTCATTTAGTTACAGGTGTTCTTCCTAATTCTTTGCCAGAAATTTCCTATAATTTTGTTGTTTTATTTTTTTCTATCAAATCTTGAGACATTGGAGGTTTTTAAGACTAGGTCTAAAACCTCCCTTCTATACCAAATTTTATTTCAGGAAATCTAACGAACTCCTATAATTTAAATAAACTCTTATGATAGTCAAACTGTAATTTGTCCCAGAAGGAAAACACTCCTGAATCATGCTTGTGACTATAATGTCGCTAGTTACAGGAATTTACAATCAGCACATGTGTGACAGATGTCATTATTACATTTTTGAAACTTCCACACACCATTAATCACCTTGTATTCTATCATTGTTCTTTTTACATCACTCACAGCTCCTGCAGTTTCCTGAGAACCGAGTGTTCATGCCATCTAACTACATGCCATAATGACTTCTCTCTTCAACGATTTCATTCCATGTGGCTTTAATGCCACCTACCCAATCTAACCTACTGTCATTTTTTTGTCATCTTGAGTGCTCAAATTCCTTTTATAACTTACAGTGATAGTATCTTTGTTATTGTTTTTCTGTTCTCTACCTGGCATCCTAAATGAGCCTCAAAATGTGTAGTACTTGATCTTTTTTTTTACCAAGCAAAACCACTTAAGAGTTTCTTTTGATGTTATGATGAAAACCAAGAGTTGGGCTCTTTCTTGCCATCCTCAACAGTTTTATATGTCCACTTATATATTCCCATCAGATACTATACTTGCAGTTCCTCAAGATCCCAGCTTTCTTGTCCCTTCAAGGATTTTCTATCCCTATTGAGTATTTTTTCATACTATTTAATGAATATCACTATTCCAAAAAATTTTCCTGAATCCTAAGCCAACTTGGATGTCTTTGATAAATGCTTTATTATTACAGTAGCATGACAGGATTTTAACTGATTTAGACTTTCTTGTTAGAGAATGGTTTTTATATAATCTGGTCAATATTAATCAATTATTCCAATGACTTGGTTTCTCCTTGCAGATATGGTAGTCAAAGACATACAATTAATGGTTGATTGTTTCAAGGAGTAATTTGAAATGACTAAAAATGAAGCTTTTATAGGTTAATAGAGTCGAAGTCTGTTTTCAACTTTCAAACACATAAGTTGGTTTAATGATGCTAGTCTATTTTCACAGTCTGGAATGCTGGAGATCCCTGTGCGGCATGGCTTTAATGATGCAGTTTAAGAAATCATAAACAAGAAGAGCAACAGCAGTAGGAAGCTGACTCACAGCCATTTTCCTAGGGCAGAGGGTTGGAATGGGAAAAGGGAAGTGAGCGTGCAGTGTTTGTCTGTGGAAGGAGATGCTGTTACTTCCTATCCATGCATCTAGAGTTCGACTACAGGACACATGGTTTCTCTAAGTCTCTCTTACAGGGTTACACTATAAGTCCTCTGATGGTTGCTTTCATCTAGCTGACTTTGAAGATAACATTTCATGAATGGTTGTGTTTACAGAAATGATATAAAATTACAGACATAGAGATACCTTTAACATATCATAGACACACTTTAAACTGTGCTAGAAACCATAGTATCTGCACTTCTTTCTTTTTTTAAAATTTCATATATGTGCAATACATGTTGATCATATCCTTTCTCCACACCTTTTATTATTACATGTCACATTTTCCATGAAAATTTGTGTTCTTTTAAACAACAAACTACAATCAATAGTGTTGCCAATGAAACTTACCATTGTTACCAAAGACACGTTCTCTGATTGGTGTAATGGGGCGTTTCAAAATGTTTTGTTCCATGTGAGTGAAAGCTTCTTTGATTAAGGGTAGTCCAGTTATCACCACTGAAGGGATGTTACCATAATCAAGGCTAATTAGGTTTCCATACTTCTTCACAAACTGGAAAACATTTCAATAGCCTTAGTTAAGTGTGTCTGTGTCAGAGTTTCAAGGGTTAGCAGACATGAGCCTATCTAGTGGGACTTGGATTGAGAGGTCTCTGTTAATCTTAGTGGAGGGATGCACCTTGTGGTAATGTTTCTGAAAAGGTTTTCTCATCCTCTGAACTAAATTCAAATTCAATTAAAAATGTAATTTATTCTATAAAAATCATTGATATAGATCAGTATGAATTGAGCAGGTGTCTATTATATTCTCCTAAAAGAAGGTATAAGGATATAAGTGCCAACAAATAAACAAGGCCTCTATTCAAGCATTCTAAAGGCTCATGTGATCTGCCAAGGGCTGAGGAAGGTCTGTTTATGTTTTGTATGGCTTGAATGAACTTCTTAGAAATCAAATATCTGTTTATCCAGAGGATAATGTTGTCTATGCAGCACCTGCTAGATATGAGATGTACATGTGTAAATACTGAGACTAACACTAAGGGAAGTCCATGCACCTGTGTGTAGAAAAGGTACACTGATGAAACAGGAATGTTACAGTACTTTTTTCTTCATCTGCATTTCATCAAATTCCAATTCACTTTAGTGTTGCTGGAGTACTGCCTGGGTACTGTTGCCGATCCAGAGCCCCCATATAACACACAGAGACTCTATTAGTTGCAATGCTGTCAGCCAATGTCTAGGGCTTCTAATTGGCTAGCTGTCTTAAGTATTAACCCATAACTACTTATATATATTGCAAGGTCTTATCTTACTGGAACGTTAGACTCATGTGTCCTCTCTTCTTTGGATCACATGGTGACTCCCTACTACAGAATCCTACTTCTCTCCTAGTCCTGCTTATCTTGCTTCCCTATTGACCAACAATGTTTTATTCATCAACCAATAAGAGAGACATATTTACAGAATGACATCTTCTATCACTTTAGAACTTGAAATTTCTTCTTATACTTTCATTCATTCATTCATCAATAAGAATTCATTGAAATTTAATGTTTCCCTAGAAGTCTTTTAAAGAAAGCAAGGTCTCTAACCTGGAATCTAGTGAAGGCAGAAAATTAAAGGCTTTGGTTCTCAAAGAGCTTGAGTTGTCTATGTACAAGTCAGTTGTAGAAAGCATGGAAGCCTGAGTAAAATTACAGTGTTGGTGTAGGGAACAGACTGTTTTTGTTTAATAATTAGTAGATATGGAAAATACAATAGAGGCTAGGAGCAGAAATATCTCTGAAAATCTGGAGTGATGAAAGCACATAGATTCCATGGTTAACTGACTGTGATTGCTCGGGGCAGGTGCTCTCTTCTAAGCCTCACACCCCCCAGTTATGAATGAGTTAAAGAAAACACCCCCCCTCAAAGAGTTCTGTGGGATATAATAAAAGTGGCGCTGTGAGAAGCACGTGGTTTAGTTCCAGGCACCCAGCCACCCACTGAATCTCTGACAAATGAATGAGCTCTGTGTTCAAAGGCTTGGAGACACAAATGCATGGTGAAAACCAGGACAAGAGCCTACCAATCCCAGATGCCACACAAACTGGGTGGGTATTTGGTATGCTTTGTGCTTTACTTAACTATTTACAACTGTTTTACTGTCGTTAGGATTTTCTTCATCATTCTTAAATGGCAATTAAGCTGTAGGCAGAGTAATCTAGTCAATAAGGTTTTCCTGGAGGACATAAGTTGCCAAGCATTATATCAGACTGAAGACAACTGTATTCATGTTGAGATGTCCTTATGCCTTTAGAGTTTAGTGGAAGATAGAGCAGTCATGAGGACAAGTAGGTAATTTGGGAGAGGACAGTGCCCACAAAATGCATAATGTATAAGATGTTGTTTAGTCTGAATGATGTTATGTAATCAATATCAAAGTTCCTTCCACCTGTGTTCTCAAGAGTCAGAGCTATTTAGATCCAAGCTCTGCCTTTGGTCTAATTGTCAAACAGAAGGGTTCAAGTCCTCCAGGTGTCTTTGATCTTCTACCCCATCCCCATCTTTCCATGTATTGTCACGCTACCACTTTGAGAACTAAACCCATGGAAACACTGTCAAGTCATGTCATAATTTGGTCTCATCTGAGAATCTTGTACCCACATTGAAGACAGTCTATTTTGTTATTTATCTATAGGTTTTAATAATTTCATTTAACCTAAGTCAGTCTACCCTGTCTTAGTCATAAGTGCAGAAGCAATTAGGGAATGCATTTTACTTTAAGAGCTATCAGTAATGGATGCATGAACATCCAGTAAATTTCTAATTATATTTTCGTGAATGCCTAATGAGAGAACCACCTAGGTAGGCTTTGCTTTGTCCTTGAGCTTGAGAAGAATCCAGAGGCTAAGTCCTGAGGTAAATGACTTTTTCCTTTTTTTTCAAGACAGGGTTCCTCTGTGTAACAGATCTAGCTATTCTGGAGCTAGTTCTGTAGATCAGGCTGGCTTCAAACTCACAGAAATCCACCTGCCTCTGCCTCCAGAGTGCTGGGATTAAAGCTGTGTGCTCTAACACTGCATGGTGCCTTTTTTATCTTTTATCAGCTCTTTGCCTATGTATATTTCTAGTTCAGCAGAATTACATCAATAAGCTTTATATTGTTACCAATCAAGTAAAGACCAGCGAGCCAACTGACCTCTGGATATCTAGCCTTATGATTCGCAAATGTGTCAGTTGTGTCTGCAATTGTTTCATGTAGATTAAATGACCCAGATGATGTCCCAGGACAAGTCATAAGACAGGGCATGTTTTTCATTGTGCAACGTAAAGTCAATAAAAATAATTTTAAAAGAGGATACAAGGAAAATAGGGCATGGCTAGAGTGATGACTCAGTGGGAAGGTCGCTGTTCCAGGTGATCTGGGTTCTATTCCCAGCACCCACATGGCTGCTCACAACTGTCTGTAACTCCCATTCCAGAGGTCCCAGCACCTTCTTCTGGCCTCTGTGGGCACCAGGCAAAGCATGCAATGCACAGACATACACACAGGCAAAATATTCATATACATAAAAAATAAAATAATCTAAAAAATATAAGCTAGTCCAGAAGGCTAAAACAGGATTAAAAATGGAACCAATTATAGAAAAATGAAGAACAATAGATTAAAATATGAGATACAATATTTAAGGAAAACAGTAGGACATTAATAGTAGGAATGAAATCCCCAAATGTAGTGTAAAGAAACAAGGATCAGCAGAGAGAATGTTTAGAAGAAAGAGAATCTCATTCCAAGGATTAGTGAGGCAAGACACTGAGAAATGAAGAGCAACTTGAGAATGATTTCACTGTATCAAAGGTCTTAAACTTAGGAAGGAATAAAACAGTCACATAGAAAGAAAATGAAAAAAAAAATTGTACCAATTAACTAACTTTGTCGTAAGGAGGTTTATTAGTCTGAATTCTTAAAGCATTGGGAAGCAAGGTGTGCACTGTGTGTGTGTGTGTGTGTGTGTGTGTGTGTGTATGTATGTATGTGTGTGTATTACTAATGAGCACATGAAACCCATACTCTCTGTTGCCTCGAAGTTTAACATGCTTCTTTGTTTTGTTTTGTTTCTTTCTTATGGTTTTTTTTAGACAGGGTTTCTCTGTAGCTTTGGAGGCTGTCCTGGAACTTGCTCAGTAGACCAGGCTGGCCTTGAACTCACAGAGATCTGCCTGCCTCTGCCTGCCAAGTGCCGGGATTAAAGGTGTGTGCCACCACCGCCCGTCTTCTTGGTATCTTTGTATATATTCATTTGAGTGTTTGAGCATGAGTATGGAGGCCAGAATTAAATCCCAGGCATCTCTCTAAGGAGCCACACATCTTGTTTTTTTTCTGTTGTTCTTTGGTTTGTTTTGAGTCAGGATGTCTCACTGGTTCAAGACAGCTATGCTAGTGAATCCTGGAGATTCACTTGTCTTCTTTTTCTTCGACCTTTGATTAAAAATCCAGGCTACTACACTGGGCTTTTTAAATATAGGTTCTGAGGACTGAACTAAATCTTTCCACCTGCATGGTAAGCATCTCTCAGCCAAAGGTCAATGCCAAGTGCTAGGAAGTTTGGTAAGTTTGGCTTCTAGAAAGTCACAATCCGGTGCAGATCAAAAGTCAGCTCTTATTATCACAGTGCCTATCAGTTATTTGACAAGGGAAAGTCAATAAGCACACGATAGAACTAGGAGCAGGCCAGGTTCCTGGAAAAAGTAGCTTCTCATGCAAGTGAAATGGAATGCAAGATGGAGGAGTGTAATGGTTACATTTGTGCCTTCTGGGTCATAGGTCTTTAAAGTTCTTGCTTGTCAATTCCTCTTCCTTATGATCCAGAACACATACAAATGAAACTACCCGAGGATCAGAGAAACAATACAAAAGCAACAGGACTTATCAAGTGAGCTTGTGCTACAAAGCAGCCTTTGCATTTTGTATATCCAGATTTAACCCCCTTTTGAGAGGGACAAGTGTTAATTTTGTGTACACCATTGTATTTGGGATGCTTTGTAACAACTAATTAAAAATGAATGCAAATATCTAATGTGTCTAATGTATCTGAGACTTTCTCCATGTAAAGGATGTTTCAAGACTGAAGAGATGGCCTAATGGTTAAGAGAGTTTCCTGTTCTTACAAGGGACCACAGTTTGGTTCCTAGAACCCATGTTGGTTGGCTCACAACTGCTTGTAACTCCATTTTCAGGGGAGTTACATCTTCTAGCCTCTAGAGGTATGTGCTCATACACACACACACACACACACACACACACACACACACACTAATTGTTAAAGAAAAAAATGTTCTCATAACAAGTCAATAGGTTGCACTGGAGAAACTTAAGAAATTGTGAGGTAGAAGGGGGAGTACAGGCCCCACATGATGAAGAAGAAAGTCAGCTTCTTCGTTGTCATGTTTTAATTCATGCCAGCTCCTCCATTTAGGATGACTTATCCTTTTACTCTACTAGAACTTGGTAAACATTTCTCTTATTGGCAACCCAATTTAGGCCCATCATACTACCAAAAGTTATCCCAGAACTTCTCACCCATTGCGATCTGATCTGGTGCCACAATTGGTGACAAGAATGTACACATGATCATCATGCCTGCCACATAAGTACTTAATAAGTGTCCATAGATGGACAACTTCAGATTATATGAAGAGGCAGGAAGTGCAGAGAACAAGTGTTGAGTCAATCATGTTGGGTGTAAGCCCTTCATTGCCATTATCTCAGGGACCAACATGGGAAAGTCGGATTCCTGCTTTTCCTAGCCAGTTTGCTCAGTAGAGATGGAAATGGAGCCTGATGTCATGGAGCCTGAAGGAAAAGGAGCATAGGAACCAAAGGGAAGGACACCACACTGTGAGGATTGTTTCCCAGTGGCAAGAATCCAAACAGTTATACGTGAATTGTATCATTTTACACCACTTGTTTATACACAGAAATATCAAACTGTACCAAATAAATGGATGAAAAAATAACTCACCTGGGAAGAGGAGCCCAAATGGTTCATCATGAACCATTGTGACATTAGACATTTTACCTAAGCTCTGTAGTCACATCTAATTTAGTGGCAAAAGAAATATATAGATCAATATTTTTAATCAACTCAAGATCAGGTAAAATAATTTCTTAATCATGCTAATCAAAACAGCAGTTGACAGAGGGTAAACTCTAATTAGAGTTTCCCAAAGCCATGAAAAATGCAGAACAGCAGAACAAGATCTCTGCCTTCCAGCCTCTATGTCTTTGAGTTTAACACACACACACACACACACACACACACACACACACACACACAAACACTCCTAAAAAGCAAAACCAAGGTGAGCCTGTCCAACCTACAATGGCCTGCAGTAGTGGGGTTCATAGGTGGAACCTTTTGCTCACTCTGCCTTGGTGTCACATCTGGGCTGATTCTCTGAGCAGAACCATGAGATCCACAGCTGCACTGTTACAAAAAGTTTGCAACACAGCCTGTGATGGAATCAGATCTCTACCCTTCCCTTATGACAACATAGATGTCTCTTTCACATAGAAAAGTTGAAGGATGATATCTCTGATTTTTATGCCCCTGTAACGAGGTGAGGCCACCTTATTCTGATGGAACCCTGAGGTCTACAGCTATCCTCTTCTCACTGGAATATGCTGATGAGGCTTTGGGGTGAATTCCTGGGAGAGTGGGGGCCACAAGCTGAGGTCACCAAGATTCACACAAAAGACTTCTTATAACCCAAATTTCCTTTTGAATCACCACTCCAAAAGGTGAGTATTCAGATCCCCAACAGGTTACCGCTGCTAAATTACCTAAGCTAAATTACCTTAAAACAGGAACATCTGAAGTCTACTGAGATGCCACACTTTGGAATTCAGAATTATGAAAGATTTTAAATCAACTGACATTTTTTTAAAGCATTGACATGTCTCATCAAAGTAATGAAATATACAGAGGCCTGAAAGCTGTAACTGTGTAAGCAGAGGCCTGTACAGAAAATCTTGGCAGAGAAGCAATGTGAGAACAAGCGTGGGCAGGGCAGAGGTGAGAAACAGGTCCACCCGGCTCACAGCAGGGAAAGCAGATGCAGCACCAGACATGAAACAGCTGTGCCTCAATGTCCGTCTCTCCCCAAAAGTCAAGAAGGAGAAAGTGTAGATGAGAAAATACTTAAAGAATGCTGGAAACTTCCTCGTCTAGCAAAATGCAAGCATGCTGTGAGGAACCCTACAGCATAAAGTCACAAGCAAAGCAAAATCACCACAACCATTAAGGAAACTGAAAGCAGAGGGACAAAACAACAATCCATTTACTACTTGTGGGGAAACCACAAAGGACAGCAATAAGTACGAGAACATTAAAGTGTAGCAAATGGTCAACCCAATGTACTACCATCAGAAAGGAAACCGTGACCTCGGAAGAAAAGGCAGCCATGGGAGGATGAGTAAGGGACAAGGCAGCAGACTCCTGTGCTTTGAGCTCCAGCTGCACTGCACACTGAAGAGCAGGGCGGTGTCTGACATGGGTCTCAGTGTGTGAGGACAACAGCTGAGACAATGAGTCATAGAGGGGAGAAGGTTCCTCCGTGTTTGTAGTCGCTCATTTCACATGGAAAGAGGTGTTAGCAAGTCTCATGGGCTGCACATGCATGCTGAGTAACACAGAGCAGCTGCTGGACAATAAAAGAGGTGTAAAGAGAGAGAAGAGGAAGAGAAAGGCAGCCAATCAGAAAGTCTCCAAGAAACACACAGGGAAGGGATAATGGAAGAGTAAATTAACAAAAATGCAAGCAGAAAGCAATAAAATTAAGGAGTAGAAGTACCTATAAAACAATAAGTATACAAAATGTTCTAGTCTCCCAGTTAATGGTAAGAGATAGGAACAATAAAAAATGAACCAAAACAGGAATAGTAAGTTTAAAAAAATGGCTCAAACACACTCTGTCTAGGCAAGAACACTGATACAGATAAAAAGGGACATTACAAAAGAATGTGGTCACTGCAGTCAAAACACCTGCTGATCTTAAACATGTAGGACACACACACACACACACACACAGGGTGGGGGGAGAGGAACAGGGAGATGGAGCAGGAGGACAGACAAAAGAACTCCCAGTGGTGCTGGAGACTTGACTACCTTTTTGTCTGGACTTGTGGACTTGATAAAATCATTAGGTCGGCAGTCAGCAAGGCTGCACAAAGATAAAACGAGTGTCAACAGTAGAGAACTGATATTAGAGAAGATTCCCATCATGAAAACATGTTCTTGGTTTTGTTTCTATATTCCCTGGATGAGTGTTTAACAAATTAAGTGAAAGGGCACTTACTTACACATTTTTTTCAATTAAAAAGTCTGTTTATTTATTTAATTAATCTGTGTATGACTGTGCCTTTTTGAGTGGATGTGCATACGTACTGCGCAGGTGTATAGCCTGTTCATGTGCAGAGACTGGAAGGCGGCATCTTATATCCTCCTTTTATTCTGTCTATTTCTTGCACCTGGGTGTCTTTCTGAGCCTGGGGCTTTATTTTCTAGGCTAGGTTAGAAGTCAGCAAGCCCCACCCTTGTTCAAACCTCCTTTGAAGCTGGGGTTACAGACATGCAAAAGATTTCTTACTTGTTGCATTGGAGCTATGATCCAAACCACCCCTCATGATTGCACAGCAAATGCTCTTAAGTGCTGAGCCATTTACACACACACACACACACACGCACACACACACACACTTAATTTTTGACAAATGATGTAAAAAATAAAACATTAGAGAAAAGAAAGCCTCTTTAACAACTGGGTCTGGGAAGTTTGGATAGCTACACACAGAAGAATAAAATTAGATTTATATTCTTCACCCCGTATAAAATCAATTCAAGATGGATCAAAGACTGAGCTTAATACAGAAACTCTGCAACTGCTGGAGGAAAACATCAGCAAACACTTTAAGATAGCTAAGAACTTTTTGAAAAGTTCTCCAATAGCAGAGGAAATAATCCCAATAATTGACAAATGTGCTTGCATGAAGGTATCTTTGACACTTCAAACAGTCAAAAGGTGGAGAGACAGCATATAGAATGAGAAAACAATCTTTGACAGCTATACATCTGACTATAAAGAGCTCCAAAATATAACATTAAAGCCCATATTAACTACTTAATAAATGATCAAATGAGTTGAACAGTTTTTGAAAGAAGAAACAGAAATGGCCAATATATAGTTGAAAAACTATTCAGCACCCTTTGTCAGTCATCAGGGATATATATACAAATTAAAACTGCATTCAGATTTTGTCTCTCTCACCTGAGTCAGAATGGCTATTGTGAAGAAAACAAATGACAGCAAATGTTGGTGAGGATGTGCGAAAGATAAACCCCTTATCCTAATGGTATAGTTATTATGGAAATTAGTATGGAGGTTCCTCCAACATATAAGATGTAGGACTCTTGCTGTCTCACTCTGGGTGGTCCCTGATGAAATCTGTAAGCCACAAGAATCCACAAAGATCCATGTTTATTATTTATTTTTGGGCTGTTTACAATAGTCGATGGGGAATCAGTTTGGATGCCAACCAACGGACAAATGAATAAAGGACGTGTTATGCATACACAGTGGAGTTATTTTTTTCAGTTGTAAAGAATATATTTCTTGCAGGAAAATAGGATTGAAGATCATGAGATTGAGAGAATTCAGATTCAAATGAATGTCATGTTTCTTTTTATATATGACAGAAAATTAGAAGACGACTGAACGGAGGAAGGAACTAAGGGAGGCCAACATTCCTTAAAGCAGCCCCATTTATTTATCAGGGAGAACTATTCTATTATCTGTCCACTTAACATACTTAAAAAAGAGAAGAAATTATACATAGTGTGTTGTCAGATCATAATGGGATAACAATGGAAATCTTTCAAACAAGGGTATTAAAATCAACTTTTTGGCAACACAACATCGTGCCTCATAAATGAAGGCACAGACAAGAAACTAGCTCTACTGGCTGGGTTAGTCCGCAGCCAGCATCAGATTACAGCCAGGTCCTCCAGCCCCCAGTGTCAGGATCCCAGATTAGGTCATGGCACAGCCAGGCACCCTCACCCTTTCTCACCTGCTGAATCACCAGATGCAACTGCTCTAAATCCAGCTGGAACAAGTTTCCCACAAAGGGCAGGCGCCAGGGCCCTGGAGGGCAGTTCTTGGGGCGCCTGAGTTTTAGGCAGTTGGTCAGCAACAAGAAAGTGAAAGCAGCCAGCAGCAGGATCTTGGGATGGAGGACTGCCCAGATGGCAGCCACCAGGGAGCCTTCCGTGACAAGCATGACAAAGATGTGAGCTGGGGCAGGTTTTCTGGGTCACTGACTGGTGCTGACACTAGAGACAGCCCCTCTGCTAAGTTCCACCCTGTTCCTTGCCGACCACGCCCCTCTAGGACCTACCAGCACCATTGCCCGGCATTGTTCACACTGGCCCCGCCCCATTTCTCTGTTCTGCCTGGGAACCTATAGCCTGCTCATCCGTACTGGCTAATGCTGGAGGCTTCTGCAGATCCCTCTGCTCCTCTGCACTTTCACCCAATCTCCAAACTCCTCCCTCCTAAACTTTGCCCTGGTGCTCTCTGGTTTGCCGCTTTCCCCAAAACCTGCTCACCTGCAGGTACTTTGCCTCCACCCTTAGGTGCCAGGGGTACTGTGTTCCCAGCACTCGCCCCCAATGTGGTTTTAAGAAGAGCAAAGCCCATTCTTAAAGGTTCTGAGGGGGTTGGAGGTCTCACCAGGAGGCAAAGTCACTAAAACATTACGTGTCTCTGGTCACTGGCACCAAGTGGGAGGGGAAATTAAGCTCTTTGTGTGAGAACTGCGAGAAGAGAAAGGCTGCCAGGTCTCGCATTTTTATTTATCATTTTGAGACAGGGTCTCACTAACTAGCTACAGATGCCCTGGAACTACTATGTTGCCTAAGTTGACCTCAAACCCACAGAGGTCCACCTGCCATTGCCTCTCCAGTGCTGGGATTAAAGGCGTGCACCACACACCAGGATGCTGGTCTCACTTTAAGCAACACCAGAGGAAAGAGATTGTGTCAGGGTTAGGGTGGGGTGGTCAGATTTGTGAGACTGCAGCACCTGTGACATAACAGAGAGAAGTCACCATTGGGAAGTTTCTGAACTAATTCCCTCCACATGAAGTTTGCTGTGCAGTTAGGATGGTGAGGAAAGGTTTTTAGAGCTGTACACATTGTTAAAATCTGGTTTTCGGCACCTGTTTTCAAGTTGGGAACACTAATGGCCAATTTATTTGTGGGTTTATGATACTTTTTCCCCAATTCCATCAAGACTAGAATTTGTTCTCTAAAATAGTAAGGTCTGCAACTTCTCATGTTGACTACTGGTATCTGATGATATAGTATTGATAAATGATAATAAAATTGAACATATTATCCTGATTTTTGATTTCTTGCTAAGCAGAGGAAGTGATTCTTACCATTTAACTTCCACATTTAGAGAGACACCATGAGTATATGTGGGTGTTAGGAAAGCAATACAATTTTACCAAATAAGAAACCTCCAGTGCAGCCTACAGTTGTTTTACCAACTCCACATCTGACAAAGGGTTAATATCCAAAATATATAAAGTACTCTAGTAACTTGATGTCAAAAAACCCCCAAAACTTAATTAAAAATGGGGTACAGATCAAAACAAAGAAGTCTCAATAGAGCAAACTCACATGGCTGCTTTCCAGAATTACTTGGAGGTAGAGCTACCTAAGTTGGGGATACATCTGTCATTTGGGAGAGTCTTCATGACCTCATTTTGTGGATGCAACCAGACACTCAGTTGTTATTCTTATTCTCTCTTTGAACCACATTAAAGCAACACTTCAATGGTCCAGAAACAAATACATGTCTACAAAGGAGGAAGGAGGAAAACTGAAGACACTTCTCCAGATGTGACTCACGAAGCACTCAGCACTTTTAATTCAGGATTTCATTTTCTTTATAGGAGGAATCATCATTCTCGGAACTTTTAGATAAAAAGATGTGCCACTGAGCTCAGAAATGATTTGATCACCAGTAAATTTGGGGTCAACAGTCCAGAAATTTGATTCAATCTTTTTAAAATTTAATCCTTCAATATTTCTTGAATCTCCTTCATTCTGTGACATTGTTCTCCTCTTACATGAGCATGAAGGAGAAGCTTTGGGCATATACCATTTCCTCCTGACTCTTTTCTCTTTCCTTCTCCAGCATCACGGTCTGGCGACAGCACAGAGGTTGTGGCTGACTGGGGAAAGAGTGAGGCCCATTCTGAACTTCAGGCTCAGCCTCTCATTAGGTGGGGGCTTGAAGGTAAAGTTTTGCAGAAGAGCAGTGAAGAAGATGAACAGCTCAGACCTGGCCAATTGTTCTCCCAGGCAAGCTCTCTTTCCTGTGGACCAGAACAGAAGATGGGTCACTTTCTCAGCTGACTTTGGTGTATGGAGGGTCTGGTGTCCCCATCTTCTTTCTGTAGATACTGACCTGACCTTGGGGTTTGTGTCCAGATGGCCATGTCTAACATCTTCCTGATTTGGTCATTAGAGCCCCATTCAAAGTGACATTTCCTGACCTCGGCCCAACAATATGTCCTAGACTTGACTTGGGTTTTCACTTTGCCTCTCCAGGAAATAGTCGTTTTCCCAAGGTCCTGGTTCCTTGCACTGATTAATGTTGTGTGGAAGTTAAGACCTGGGCAGGAGGCATTCTTACAATTCTGGAAGCCATTGCTCTAGGTCCCCTCATACCATACACACATGCACATGGTGTATTTATCAAAGTGTGTACATAGACATATGTACTAGTGTCTGTATTCATTTCTGTACTTACATGTCAGTTTCTCTATTGACTATTTTAGTTCACACCAGTGATCTCTGATGATCCAGGACAACACTATCATGCCACTGTTCTCTGCCTTAGTGAACACCTTCACCATGCATCCCAATAGCACAGTCTCCACACAGTGTCTAATCTACCTTAAATGCCACATTTGTGTAGATGTGTTTGTGCATGTGTGTTCATTGTGTGTATACATGAGTGCAAGTATTGTAGAACTTAGTGGCCAGCTGTGTGTGCTTATCCCCAAGTGGCATCCACTTTATTTATTTATGAATGTGTTTTTGAGACTATGTCCCTACCACTCAGGATAATCTTGCTGGCCAGTGAGTTCCAGGGTCCTCTTGTCTCTGGTCACTAGCACAAGGAATACAAGCATATGTTGAAATACTCAGCTTTCTCTGTGTGTTCTGAGGATCAAATCAGGACATTATGCTCATAAAGCAAGCAATTTACCAGCTGAGCTACCATGTCAGGTACCTTAAGTACCTTGCTACTATTACATTTTTCCTAAGTGTAAAATCTAAAGCAAAGCACAAAGCCTCAGAATGGAAGTTCTAACTAAACAGAAGTTTACTGAGATGTATAGCCTGGTTCTGGGCAAGTGCTTTTTTAGTGGTCATTGACTTCCATTCCTCCCACCCCCAACCTCTCAAAGGCCATTTGTGAGTAACTGTGTAAATTATACTAATACTAGTAGCGCATACAGTGTACAGAGTCTGCCCCTTGACAATGCTGACTAGTGTGTGTGCTGGTGTCAGAGTTCACACTAAAGAAGAAGAATTTCTATCTCTTTATTCCTTTTTTCCTTTCCTTTACTATACTTTTTTTCTTTTCTTGCCTCTCCATCATTACTTGTTCAGTCTCTCTTTCTTCCTAGTAATTGCTAAACCTAGGGTCTTGCATATTCTAGAAAGTACACTTTCACTGAGCTATACCCCTATCTCTCTTTTAACCATTTTATTTGATACAGGATCTCTATAACTTTCCCAGAATGCATTTACTACTATAGTTTTCAGAGTTAATAAATAGTGGATATGGCTTACTTTGTAGGGTTATGAAAAGTATATCAAAAGATGGTTAACTCTGAGTGATCTTTTTAAAATTATTGCTTCATGTGAGTAGGCAAATCACTCTCCCATTTCTCCTCTCCATCACATTTCATGTCAACTCCATTTCCCCATGAGAGTGCATCCCTTAAAAATAACTTGGAACACTGAAAAATCTTATGAAGATGCCACCTTAGTGAAGAAGGGGCAGAGCATAGGTCTCTATTCTTAGTGTTTTGGAAAACAGCATGAGGCGAGTTGAAATACCCTGTCAAGGCAAGGAAGCGTAAGAATTAAGGTAGGTCTGAAGCAGTACCAAGGTCAGGGAATGTAGGATTGTAACCAAAAGTGAAGTGGAGCAACCCTGGGCCATCTGGAGGTGTTTTCGTTAACATAGATGACTATGGAGATGAGAGGAGGGAAGGGCTGGGGTGGAGCTCTGAACTCTGTCCTTCTCATCACAACTCACCCATTGAGAATGGCAGAAAGGATTCTCTCTTCTTAAACTGTCCATTCTCCAAAAAGTGCTCTGGATTGAAGGTTTCTGGGGTGGCCCACTCTTTGGGGTCCTTATGCAGTGCAGTCAGATTGGTTACAAGCATGGTGCCCTAGAAATGACAGCAAAGAGTCAAGACTTGATTCATGGAACAGACCTGCAACGAGGTAGACATTTCTTGAGCTGTCGTGCATTACTCTCCCCACTTAGTACCGTCTCCTTTGTCTAGATAGCTTTACAACGACTGTGAGTGACTTCTGGGGATTTTCAAGTTCATTTGGTTGCTCTTTAACGCTGATCACAAGTCTATAGGAAGAAGTCTATATGGGTCTATGGAGAGACATGTTAGCATCCAAAGAAGAATAATGAGGCAGACAGGAATAAAGATCAACTCAGTCATTTCCTACCATGAGGACACTGGTAGGTCCATTCTTGGACCTCTGTGTGGAGGCCTCTGAACCTAGTCCTCAGTGTTAGGAGCACATGAAGCAAGCAGAATAAGAAAGGTCAGTCCATCAGGATCCTTGAAATGGTGCCCAGACTCCCCGACATGAGTCTTTACCTCCCATTGACTCATTCACCTAATCAGCTTCTTTACCCATTCTTCTAATCTCTCTTGATTTTGCCATGTACATTTCTGAGTCCAGGTAGCACCTTAGTGCAGAACTGCGCCCTTGATCTCTGAGACCCACATCTGCTGCACAGTCAACAGTGAAGTGTGCCATGAACGTGATTACATTGTCGCCTCCCATCATTTTCATTATACACTCTCTAGTTTGTTTCCATCATCTTGGGCTAGGATACGTGAAGATGGTTCCAGAGACAATCAACTACTAGCAGCAAACCTTCCCTGACTGTGGATAGCACCATCCTACAGGTTGACGAACCGGATGAAATAAAAAAGTGTGGAAGAGGGGGCAAAAAGCCTCCTGTAGGTGCTCCCTCTGCTTCCCGGCCATCACCATTATATTATCTGACCGACTCTTTCACTGCTTCTTGCCATGCTGAACTGAAACCTTGGGTATTTTGTCACAGCCAAGAAAAATACCTTCTTATAATCCATGGTGAAGGGAATAACAGAAGTTACTGTAACTGTTTCGGGGGCGTTGAGTGTATGCGTTTCAGGAAACCCTGGGCAGAGATCTTAAGAGCACTGGGAGATGTGATGGGGATCCAGATTGTAAAGAGAGGAGATTTAACAGGAACTCATGGAGAAACATCAAAGGAGATCCTTTTAATGTCAAAATAATACAAGTTCCATGGAAGAAGCATGGGGTCATCAGAATGATCAGAACAGGTCTGGTTCTGGATTCCCCACTTTTATTATCTTATAATAGAGGGATTGTATGCAAAACTAATTTCCTTAAGCCTCATCTTTCTAATCTCAAAAATGAAATGGATAGTTATTCTGAAAAGTTGATAAGACATTTTGAAGGATATAAGAGTTAACAACTCACAAATATCACTTAGTAACTATTGACCCTTCTCTCTCTTTCTAAGACTGTAGTTTGAAATGACTTCCCACATGAGACAGATTATTTGCATGTAAGTTAAATAAGCCTGTAGGTCATTGTTTTAAAAACACAAGTCTCACTGTGATGATAGTGCAGGTGCCTCAAATTTCATTCACATTTCGAAGCCAAGCTTTGGTCTTGGGAGCTGATCCGGTTACATCAAATTGCTGACTGTTGTGAGTTCACATTATCATAGGAAGATTCTAGGAGGCCTTCAGGAAACACAGTCAGGCTTTGCCTAAACATGTTTGACAAAGGACGCTTCTTTCATGTATATATATGTTTTCATGTATGGAGGAAAACTGGCATTTTAGCAGTCTCTCTCTAGCCAATTTCAATGATCTCTTGAGGCAGGAATGCATGCCACCTTTAGTTTAGCCTCTTAAGACTGTCGAAAGTGGACTTAGATATCTGAGGCTAGGAGCACATAGTTACCTTTGTCAAGCGGAATCCATCCAAACTGGTGTCCTTTGTCACCTCTCTGGGAACATTCAAGGGGATGATGTTGGCCATCCTCTGCACTTCATGGACAACAGCATTGGTGTAGGGCATGGACTCTCGGTCTGCCAGGCTTGCCTGTCTCTTCTGGCCAATCACTACATCAATCTCAGCCTGCACTTTTTCTGAAAGAAAACAGAAGATTCTATTGATTTTCAAATTTACTTATTTCTTTTAACAATTAGAAGCTCTCTTGCTTTTATTTCATTTTAGTGTCGTAGCTGTAAAGAAAATTCCTTAGCCCTTAAAAAAAGGATTGATTTAAAAGAAAAATCACCAATTCTGTGGTTTTTCCCTGAGCCTACAACATAATCCTAATTTTCCTGGATGGAACAGCTGTGATCAGCACGGCTAATCCCAAAGCAGTACCTAGTATGAGT